CCTGTAATCCAGCACTTGGAAGGCTGAGGCAGGAGGATCGCTGTGAGTTTGAGATCAGCCTGGCCTACATAGTGAGTTCCAGGTTAGTCTTAACTACATAGTAAGACCCTGTCTCAAAAAAACAAAAAATATTAAATGTGTTCATACGCCATAGTTTTAGCTATTAGACAATATGCTATATTTAAGAGCATTCAGGTCAGGAAATTCCAAGAATTTGCTTCAAAGAGCACTAGATACATAAATACATAAATTAGTATATGTCAGATATTTAAGCACATGATTTTTAATATATTTGTAATATTATTCAATGTCTATGTATTACAATAATTTTTTCATATTTACAATTAAAAGAAGACAATTTTATGCCATCAACTTTCATCCAAGCAGTATACAACTCCCAAACTCCTGTAAGTATCCCAATATACAGTATTATAAAAATATTTAACTGATCTTGACAACACACACCTGTAATCCCAACAACTCTGGGAGGCTGAGACATGAGAATCAAAAGTTTAAGCCCTGGGGCTGGGGATTTAGCTCAGTCATTCCACTGCCTGCCTCGGTCGGATCCCCAGTACCAAAAAAAAAGTTTAAGCCCAACCCAAGCAATTTGGCAACTTAATAAAACCCTGTTTCAAAATAAAAAGCAAGAAAGAAGGGAAGGAAAGAAGGAAGGGAGAGAGGGAAGGAAGAAGGGAGAGAGGGTGAGGGAAGGAAGGAGGACGGGCAGGCTGGGGATATATAGTTCAGTGTAAAGACCCTGAGTTCAATCCCCAATACCAAAAACAACAAATAACACTCTTGGGCCATCTAAATTTGGTGACTCCTGCCCTAACTGGTACAATGCTGGGTTAAGTAACCACACAGTAGCCAGGCATTGTGATACATTCCTGGAATCCCAGCACTTGGGAGGCTGAAGTAGAAGGATCACTGCAAGTTCAATGCCAGCCTGTGCTACATAGTGAGACACTGTCTACAATAAATAAATATATATATATACACACACACACACACACACACA